AACGGGGTTTACGCCCTGCCGAGCGCGGCCAACGGAGAAGTGAAGCCTGTAGTGTCCAGCACGCCTCTGGTGGACTTCTTGATGCAGCTGGAGGATTACACACCTACGGTGGGCTACCCGCCTGAATAAGGCCATCTGGCTCGCTGTTGTGCTTTCAAGCGTCCTTTTTTTCCACACTGCTAGTCTTTTTATTCCTCCTTCCCACCCATTGCATCGGGTCAGGGCTAATACTGACCGCTGTTTAATTTGATTTCCCAGATTCCAGATGCAGTGACTGGTTATTACCTGAACCGTGCTGGCTTTGAAGCTTCAGACCCACGCATGTGAGTAGTAAACTCAGGGTAGGTTAGACTGTTGAGTGCTGGGTGCAGTTTGTTATATGTCTCATTACTCCACCCCCACCCCCACTTTTCTCTCTAGAATTCGGCTCATCTCACTTGCTGCCCAGAAATTCATCTCAGATATTGCCAACGATGCCCTACAGCACTGCAAAATGAAGGGTACAGCCTCTGGCAGCTCCCGGAGCAAGAGCAAGGTGTGAAAGGCGGCTCACCTTCCACAGCAGTACAGGCTTAACTTATCCTGAAACCCCTTTGGGAAGCAGCATCCTAGGGGCGGTATTGGGCCTACTCAGGGTTATCTACGAGGGACTGGAATCTGGGATTACTGTGCTCAGCTGGTGGTCTTCCCTCTTCCCTTAGGACCGCAAGTACACCCTAACCATGGAGGACTTGACCCCTGCCCTCAGTGAATATGGTATCAATGTGAAGAAGCCGCACTACTTCACCTGAGCCACCTAACCCAGATGTATTTGTCTTTCCCTCTGTCCCCACACCAGCCTGTTTTCATAATAAACTTTATTGTGACAGGCAGGGCTTATCCCTCCCATGTTGGGAGACATCATGTGGCAAGTGACAAAGCTCTTGAGCCCAGCCCCTTTTGGGGCTACAGTGGTAGGGATGGGAGCAGGGATGAGCCCCATAACTGGGGTAGTACCATGATTGGAGACGGGAGGCAACCAGAGGCCTTCAGCTTTGGGGAAGTACACTCCCCCAACCTTGTTTTGACACCTCTGGAGTCTGGGCCAGGACCTTCCAGTCCTACTTGTCTTGCATCTTCTCCAGGATAGGCACAATCATGTCAAACTTGGGTCGCTTTGCAGGATCTTCATTCATACAAATCTTCATGAGCTTACACACGTGTGGGGAAATACCTGGTGGAATTGTAGGCCGAAGGCCTTCCAGTGCCACCTGGAAATTACAAGGAAGAAGGTGAACTTCAGAGTTGGAGTTAATCATATGGTAAAAAAACTTTTGACCCTTCAATGGGATTACTATAAATCTGCACAAATTGTGAGAAGAGCTTGCCACAGCAATTGTCAGCACCACTACCCCTATACAAGTATGTGCAGTTCTATGCTCACCTTCATTCCGATCTCCATATTAGAGAGGTCAGCAAAGGGCACCTCTCGTGTCACCAGTTCCCACAGAAGCACTGCAAAGCTCCACATGTCTGCTGAGCGTCTGTTAGTGTCTTCAGGCTTCTTCTGCAGGGCTGGAAGGAAGAGGGCTTACTACTCCAGCTGCCTAGCCTGTCCTATCTCTGCCTCTTCCACTGTTATTGTGTTGGTTCTTCTCAATTCCCAACATGATGCCTTCACCTACCTTCAGGGGCCACCCAGGCAGGTGCATACATGCGCCCTGGGCACTGGAAAGAAAACTTGACATCAGCCATGCTGATTCGAGCAGTCATGTCTTCATCGATCTGAGGAAGAGAAGTTCAAAAAGGTGGGCCCTATTGTAGGCATGCAGAGGGCTTTGGGGACCAGTAGTGAACTTGTGGACTCACCATTACACTACGGCTATTTAGTGCATGTCGAGGTATGAGAGGCTCTAGTGTGTGTAGAAAAGCCATGCCTCTTGCCATGTCCAAAGCAAACTTTACAGCTTGGCTCTGGTCCACAACGAAATCTAACCGGAAGCAAGAATTAATTTAGAATTTACCACCCCTATTTTAGTCCCTCCCCAACAAGGCCAGTATCCTTACTGGTGCCTTCATGTAGTACATTGTAGAGAGATCCATATGGCATCCAGTGTGTGATAAGGGTTGGGTGGGGAGCTGGTGGAGCCTGGCAAGCTCCTAGCACTGGAAGCACGTTTGGATGTGAGAAAATCCTGGGAGAGGGAGAGAGTGGTGAGACCCAACAGAATTTCCCTTTTCAGTACTATTTGGGCTTCCACTTTTGCTGTCCCACCTGAGCCGGGGACACTCTTCATTGAAGTCCCTGCTTTTCCTTGTACTCCAGTCTCGAACCTTCAGCACCTTCACAACAATGTCATTGCTCTGCCAGCGGCCTTTCCATAGCTGAAGGACAGGTAGAGGTTAGGCGGTATTAGCTCAGGCTATACTATTTCCTTTCTATTAACTGGAAGAAAACCTTAGAGATACAGAGTGGCAGTTTGTGAGTGTTAGAGAGGGAGGGGCAAGAAGGGCAGGGATCACCTCTCCAGAATGATTCTCGTTGAGCTTTGCCAGAAAGTTGAGCTGTTTGAAGTCAATACCGGAGTGTTTGTTCAGGGTCCCATTTCCTGAGAATATGGGTAGGTCAGGTACCCAGCTTCACCCTAACCCACTTCACTAGCCCAGGATCCTGAATTACAGCCCTTCCCCCACAGCAGTGACTCACGGGGCCGAGTACGAGTGGTCCCCTTCCAGAATGTGTCCTTGTATGGAATACGGTTGAGATTCTGGCCCATCTTCTCTGCCCGTTCTGGAGAGGAAAAACAGTCTTAGCCTTAACTGTGATATAGAGGGAAGAGATGCAAGATAGGACAAGAGGACACAAGCTAGGGGTAGGGAATGGACCTCGGAGAAGCTCTCTAAGGGGTGCCTTGGCTTTGTCAACAGGCATCTCTCCATACTTGTTACAGATGCTGACAAGAGCCCCGTTAGCCACCAGGTCCTGCAAAGAAAAGATAATTTTTATTCAGGGGGAGGGGGGCTGTTAACTGTGTCACAAGCAAGCACGAACAGAGATGCAGTGTACTGTCCTGTAAGTGTCACACAGTAGGATTGACAGGATGGGTTGATGGTTCCATGCTCAATTTGTTTCCCACTCATCCTAGGACTTAGGTCTGAGTACTTACCTCTGCCACCTGGTCTTGACCCCAGAAACAGGCATAGTGAAGGGGCACATTCCCATGCTCATTCACTGCATTGATGTCAGCCTTGTATTGCAACAGCTGCGCCCCATGGCCAAGAAAAGAAAAGAATATAGTCCCAAATTTAGATAGTACACATTCTCCATGTGACAATAGCTGTTACTGACTTCACAATTGTGTACATGTGAGATGTGGGTGTTGAAGGGTTTGCCCATACCTTCTGTACGATGTCACGGTGTCCATGACTGGCTGCCAGGTGCAGGGGGGTATCATCCCCACGATTCATCACATTGATACGTGCTCCTCTCATGATCAGCATTTCAACCACCGCAGAGCGGCCTTCTCGGCAGGCCCAGTGCAAGGGGGAGAAGCCATGATCATCCCTTTGAGAAAGAGGCATGGAATTGGAGGTTGGGAGGGACAAAAGCTTTGATGGGAGAATTCTATATTCACTGAGAAGGCTTGCCTCTCTAGTACTTAATTTTTACTCATGTCAGCAATTCACAAAGTTCAATTCAGATTTTCCCTTGAGCTTCACACCCAGTCACTCAGATGTCCCAACAACTGTAAGGTTTATTACTTTAATGACCATCTCCTAGATCCTCTTCCCTAGCAGTTCTTCATTAGGTGATAGCACTCTTCCTGGGTTCTTTGGCGTCTGCTGCTCCTTGATTGACAGTACTAGGAGTCAAACCCAGGGCCTTGTACATACTTGGCATATGCTATGTATACCACTAAGCTGTATCTTCAGCTCATACATTTTTAGCCACACCTTTAATTCTGTTTCCACTGCTTCTTGTGCCTCTCCTTATTGTAGATGTACACTGACTAGATTGTAAGAATCTATTGAGGTAGCTGGGCGTTGGTGGCGCACGCCTTTAATCCCAGCACTCGGGAGGCAGAGGCAGGTGGATCTCCTGTCAGTTCAAGGCCAGCCTGATCTACAGAGCGAGTGCCAGGATAGGCTCCAAAGCTACACAGAGAAACCCTATCTTGAAAAACAAAAACAAACAAACAAAAAAAGAATCTGTTGATGTCAGCTGTCTTGCCTGTTAGATCATATGCTTGAGGACAGAGTCTGACAACTGATGTTCTTTCTATGCAAGTTAATGGGAGAGGGGCATATTGGAGAAGGAGGCCATAACTTAGGAGAGGGAACAAGCTTACTATTTGGCTCTGGTATTGAAACTAACATCTAAAAATGGAATGGAATTAAAATGTTTTGGAGGGATATAATGACAAAAAAAAACATGCTTTTGATTACTGATGAGGCAGATAATAACACAAAACAGGATTTTCCTACTTATCAACCCAGAACACACAAAAGAAAACATATATAGAAGCTTTAAGATGAAAACTATATCTGATTAGTATTTTCATTCTCTAAGAACATATATTTTATAAAGAGAAGTGTACAAACAAAACAATTGGGTGGGCTGGGTCAAACTGACAGCCTGGAGCCATAAAAGGAAATTCCCTCCAGTCCAGGGATGCAGATCTAAGGGGCGGGACGGGGCGGTCTGTGGCTTAGGCTTGCAGCCTCCGGATGCCTTAGTGCTGTGGTCATTTCCTGTAAGGGGGCTGGAGGAGGGGCCTTGAGCTGATCCAGACTTGGTCACCCAGAATCCCTCAACAGCTGAAGGAGGTATGTAGCTTTAAAAAAATTGTTCCTCCAGTTAGCCCTCATCTGCTAACACAATCAGCAAAACCTTTCCCAGGATGTGAGTATATCCCTTGCTATCAGTCTTGTCTCCCAGACTTCTCATGTGTTCTGACCTAACAGCCTCCGGCAGTCTTGGCCTCAGTGTAAGCCCAAGCTTGAGAACAAAAATAAATGCACTGAGTTTTGCTCACTGTCACCCCAGGGCCTAGATTTCTATCTCAAGAAAGCCTGTAGGATATTAACCACCACCAACAACACACCCTGTCCCCTCAAGCCACCAAATCTTTCTGGTTTCCCTAATGATGCCCTTTCACCTTTTGACAGCAAGGAATCTTCCAAAATGTCACTCCCACTGGGGACAACAGCCTAAACTTCTATTTCCTTACCAACAAAACATGTCTCAGTGTGTACCAGAGCTTACGAATCATGTGAAAAATGAAACAACTGAATATTACAGAGAAATAACACAGCCTAAAGGGAACTGGTGAAACCTGGCCTAAGATGACAGATGATCCTTTACAACCTAAAAAAGTACACTCTTCTAGTCACACATGGTGACAGCAAACTGAAAACCCAGCACTCAGGAGGCTGAGGCAGTAGGATGGAGAGCTGGAGGCCACTCTGAACTACATGACACCCTATCTCCAAAAGCAAACCAAACGCTGAGGCAGTAGGATGGAGGCCACTCTGAACTACATGACACCCTATCTCCAAAAGCAAACCAAAACCACCTACTAAACTTTCCCAACAACACTTTTCTTTCTTTCCTGTATCAGCCAGCATTTTAGAAAGTGTTCATATTTTCTCCGTTTCCTCGCTTCTCATTCACTTTTCTCCTTTCCAGAAGCCTGCCATCTCGAGGGCATTGATTATGTCTGATTTAAGGACTCTAGTACCCACTATAGGTGGTGGTCCTTATTTGAAGGAACCCAGTATAAAACAGGTTCCTGTTAATTTTCTGCAGTTTCATTTACAAGATCAAATATGACCTAAATATAAGTTAACTGAAGAACATAAGATACTCATTCATGTTCTTTAACTTCTCAGAAGCCTATGCTACAAGTGACCAGCTCATTAAAACATTCTTTAATCTTAATCCATTTTCCTATTTCTCCTTCAGAAGGTTGATACCTGTCAGTTGGATAGGCTTCTAATCCTCTGCTTTAATTTCTTGCTCTTTTGAGGTACTATTTTTCACACTATAGAATCTTCAGATACCATTTAAATGATATTTGTGGTATCTTGGTCTCCAAGTTAGACTTCTCCTGAAATTCAAATCTACACAACTAACAACCTGCCCAATATTTCCCAGTTGCTGTAGTGCCACCATAACTGTATCAGTCCAGACAGAACATCAGCAACTTCCAAGTATCCAAGTGCCCAAACCTCACAAACCCCAGGCCATCTTTGACTACCCTCAGTTCCCATGTCAAGTCAATTACTTCATCCTTATGACTCTGGGAGAATCTCACCACTTCTAGTTTTTCAACTGTCCGAATTCTAGTCCAAAACATCACTTCAAGGCAACTTCCAGGATGACATTAGACAAATGGACAGTCTCATCACCACACAGCTTCAGAACTTTGCTTACAGACATCTGTCCTTTTTCACTTCTATCCAATGCTCCAGGGCACAGAAACCTATTCTCCAACCACATGTAATTCCAGGCAATTGCCTGGCACTCTGGCCTGCCATTGACATGAGTTCACAGAGGCTGCAAAGCAACCCGGAACCTCTGATTGTGAAGCTTAGTTAATAAATTCAGTTCAGACACAGCTTCCTTAATGTAGATACCCCTCCAACAGTCTGTGCTTACTATACTCTTCACACTAGATGGCAAAATCAGCTGCCCCCGCCCGACATGAGCACCCCACGTAGCGGAGAGTAGACTGACAGCCCTTCTCTCACTCTCCAGCGCTTCAGCTCACCCCTGATTGAGGTCGTTCTCTGTGTTGTCCAGCCACAAGCGCACCGCCACCGCGTTGCCCTCCCGGCACTGAGTGAAAATGTCGTCCATAGCGGCGTCCCGGACAGGAGAAGCCTTGGGGGACTGCGGGAAAGCAGAGACAAGAGGATGAGCTCTGCTCTGTTCTCTGCAGAACAGAGTTGTCTGCTCTGGGATGGGGGGCTAGGCGTTGCGAGAGTGACAGTGGTCGTCTGTGAAGGACTTCGGGCAGCGAGACGACCACTGGGCGCGAGGGACAGGCAGGGTGTGGCGGTATAGGAGGGACTTTGCTAATCTCCTGAG